ATAAATATAGATAGATAGATAATGAAAAGAAAAAAAATCTGTATTACAGAATCTAACACAACCTTGATTTTTTTTGTGCATCTCTGACCTCATTCACTACTTGGTTTCCCTGATCTACTTGTTTTTGCCATACTTGCCTTCTGTTTTTTTTTTTTTTTAAAGATTTATTTATTTATTTATACAAGCATTGAGTACAGTCAGAAGCGTGGGAGGGTAAGAGAATTCACCAGAGCCAGAGTGGGGAGCAGAACAGACAGAAGGACTGAAGTACACTGCTGAGGGGAGCAGTGGGTGGCAGGAGAGGTCTGCACGCCATGTGGGACCCTCGCCGGTGGCCGGGGATCGAACCAGCGCTGCAGAGGTTGCAGGCAGCCCTGCAGCCCAGCGCTCAACTGCGCGCCACCAGTGGAGGCCCCATACTTGCCTTTTTGAATCTTGTCAGTGCCCGGGTTTCATGCCATATCATTTAAGTCAGCATGGTTGTAGGCAGGACTGAGACATCAGCAGTTTTTAAAAAGCCCCAGGAAGTTTCAGTGTACAGTAAGGTTTTGAGTCACAGGTTTAAGTGAAATGAATAAGCCCGATTTTAGGAATATTTCTCAGGCAGTAATTGTCAGAAGTGGCACTCAAATCTATATCTGTCTCATTCCATTTGCTTTATTTCTTCTATAAAATCAGCAATTATGGCAAATCACCTTTTAAGTTTTCATATATTATTTGCAAATCTCCTTAAAAAAATCTTAACCAATTTACACACCAACTTGCAAAAAATTACAGACTAATTCTAACTATTGTCATTCACTGAATATGTGTTTAAGTTTAATACCAGTGAGTCAGACACTTAGGGAGCAGAGGAATAAGGAAGGGGAAGAGCAGTAACAGGACAACTGAGATGTTTACAGTTGTGTGAGTTCTACATGGTGGAATCACTGAAAAAGAATCTGAATCCACTTTGTGAATCCCTGTTTACTGGAAAGCTGTCTTCCCATGGCTCAATATACCCTCTTCTTAGATAACTCTAGATAACCATCCAGTTCCTGGAGGAAATGCCATTTTCCCCTCTCACACCTTTCTCCCATACACACTTACAATGTGGCCTTAGTTATTGGAGTCTTTTCTGTCCTTATTTTTTTAAAAGGTTTATTTTTATTTATTTATGCATACAAGAACAGAGGTGTAGGCCAGAGGTGAGAGGATTCACCAGAGACAGAGTGGGGAGCACATCTACTGAAATACACTGCTGAGGGGATCAGGAGATGAGACAGGAGAGGTCTGCTGCACCACGTGATTAGCTCCCTGGCAGGGGATCGAACTCATGCCACGATGGCTGGGGATGACTTGATAGTGCTGAGACTTTAACCCTTGTGCCACCAGGGAGGCCTTCTTCTGTCCTTATTAATCCAAAATATAATTTGGTATCTCCATTGCTGGATATCTAGATACTTGGCTTGAGTGAGAGTTTGATAGAGAATACTGAAAAATATTTCAAAGAGTCCATGTGTAATTCCATCAGTGCATTATATGAGAATTACATGCATTCACATTGGACTATAGCTAGTTCAGTAAGTAGTTTATCATCTGGTATGATTAGATGGAGAAAAGAAAAAGAATTACTCTAATGAATACACAAAATGTTAAAGTAAAATATAGACTCCAGCTTTAGCTCAAACAAAGAAGTTCAAAACAAACACAGGATCATATTCTTGAAAACAGGTGACATGTGATGCTGGATTTGGAAACCAAAGGAAGCCATGCAAATTCTAATGTGAGATGTAATTTTTCCCGGTCTATCCTCATACCATTTTCACTTACTTTCTCCCTGAGTTTCCCTCCTAAACAGTTTAGCACAATTTTTTTTTTTTTGTCCAATGAATGGGTAGATACTAACCTACTGGGGTTTTAAAATTATCCAGTTATAGAGGCAAATCCAACATAAAATGATGATCTCCCCCGAGACTTATTTGCAGATTCCCCTGTACTTTTAATAGCTGGGACCGTTGGTGCTCTGAGCCATCCCACAGTCTCTCTGGATCAAAACAGTCTTCAGAGGTGGAGATAAATGGGACCACATCTTAGCTCCAGGAACTATGTTACTTGTGCTGGATCAAAATCTCTCCTGCACAGCTGAATACAGAGACTGGGGTGAGTGTTGAATGGATTAGATGGACAGAAAATAAAATTGAGGACAGTTCTGTAAAGTCAAGAGCAGACATAGGGGAAAATATGGAGGGATGAATCATACAAATATCCTGATGTCCTTGGCTACTTAAGAGGTCATTTCATTTTGTCCCCAGACTCCACTATAGGAAGTATCGTTTATTGACTCCCTCAGGTATTTGGGGTAGCCTTATTGCATACCCAAATTAATCATAAGTAAAAACTTTTCTCTGCACCTGAATCCCTTCTATTGAAGTTAGAGATTTTGTCTCTTTCAACTTTTCTTGTTCAAGACAAGCCAGATTGTCAGATCTTCAGGAGTAGCTTTTCAGAAAGCAGTAATGAAGTTTGAATTTCCTGACAATAATTACATGCATTCATAGTGATTAGGTCAACCAAGCATCATATATTTAATTTCTAGAGTACTAGGACTTTCACAGCATCCCCTACTCTAGTTGATCAGCAACCTAATCTGATTTCCAACCTTACCAGGGTGTGAGTGAGTACAGCTGGAATAATCTAGAAGAATCTCTAATTCATCCTGTAATTTCACATGCAGAACACTTAGAAGTCCACCAAGCAAGGTTTGTTATTTCCAGGGCAAAATCAGATGAATGTCTTACTGTTCAGGCCAATAGAATTTCTCCCATTAACAGAAATAAGATTCATATCTCTTCACTTTCACTCTCTCTAAGTGACAGTGCAGAACATGCTTGCTCCTTTTTTATTGAAGGACCCCAAATATCATGATAATTTATGGTCCCATGAGAAATTAATGAGAAGCTCACAAAGACATTGGCATCTTGATGAAATTGCATCAGTAGGAGTCATTCTTTCTTGCATCTTGTAAGAATCAACTTAACCCAGTTAAGTGAGGACCAGTCTGGTTATCTCTGAAGTAGCTCTTGATTTAAGGGGGTGAAACCACAGTACCTTGACCCTTGAATTATAATACAAGTTCAAGAAGTACTGATAAGTATTTCAAATTGAATAACTTAATAAAGTTTCCTCTTGAGAGGTAAAGGCATGGGAAGAACAATGGACTCAGAGATTTCCATAAACATGAGAAGTAGCAATGAGTATTATAAAAAATATTTACTAAAATGCAGAGACTGTAATATATGCTATACATGATTTTCTCATCTACTTGTCCAAAAACTCAATGAAGTGAGTATTGTTATTTGAACTTTATATCAGGAAACTGAGAACAGAATGGAAGAATATAACTGTTTAAGTTGATACAGGCAGCAAAAAAGTACATTCAGGTCACTTTTTGAGCTCAGTCTGCCAGAATATAGTGACTTATTTCTTATATTCCAGAGTGGACCACATAAAAAGGGGGAAATGCTGAGAATTAATTGGTACCAGAGATATTTAAAGCATTTGTGGAAAGCTAAGATTTTTTTTAAAGATTTGTTTTTATTTATACAAGAGCTGGGGTACAAGGCAGAGGTGCAGGAGGGTGAGAGGATTTACCAGAGACAGAGTGGGGAGCAGAACAGGCAGACAGACTGAAAGCACTGCTGAGGGGAGCAGCGGGCCAGGCAGAAGAGGTCTGCACCTGAAAAAATGTGACTGTATACCTCTGAATTATATACAATGTTGTAAATCAATGATACTGTGTTTTAAAAAAATATAAAATAATGTTAAAAACCCATATAAAAGGCATGCAGGTGTGATAAAACACACTTTTATACATTTCAAAAACTCTTAAATATGGTCTGGACATGAAGGATGTGGTTGAGATTGGAATAAATCATGGAGACAGGTGGGTAAGAGCAAGAACAAGATCAACAAGAGCTTTGGTAGTCATCATTTCAAGATCCTTAGCAAAAAACAGATGTATAAAAAAAAAAACAGATGCACAACCAAATTTGGGGATTTCAGGAGCATATAATACAGAAATCATGTTCAAAGATATGGGTTAAGTGTAGGAAAACCAAAGTGCTTGTGAAGTTCCTGTATTAGTGACAAATGTCATTGTCATAGTCCTTTGATTAACGGGAAGAGAGATGCTATGATTATGAAAGGTAACCAGAGCCAAGAAAGGCTATTTACTGAAAGATGCCGCCAGCTTGCAACAACCTTGCAGGAAAGGAGCTGAAGGAATAAAGCCCTGGCAAGCTTCCATTCTCTTGGTGTTTCTTATTCCAAATCCAAGCAGAAGCGAAGGGAATGGGGAGTCTGTTGATAAAATCCTGTGTCCCAGATAACAGGACAAAATGGAAAGTGGAAGAAGGTAAAATGAAAGAGGATAATGAAAAATACTCTGCACAGTATACGTAGAAAGATTGAAGTATAGTTGAATATTTTCACATTAGAATATTTAGAGAGTAATTAGAGGTGTCCCTGGTAGATGGAAACTAGAAGTGAGGATATTAGTTACACAGTTATTTTTTATTTTTTAAGATTTATTTAATTATGGGGTATAAGACAGAGGTGTGAGGGGGTGAGAGGATTCACCAGAGACAGAGTGGGGAGCAGAAGAGGCAGATCTACTGATATACACTGCTGAGGGGAGCAGCAGGTGAGACAGGAGAGGTCTGCTGCGCCATGTGGGTATCTCCCTGGTGGGCCGGGGGATCAAACTTGTGCTGCAGTGGCTGCAGATAGCTTCATAGGTTACATCCTAACCCCTGTGCCACCAGGGAGGCCCTACACAGGTATTTTGATAACCTAAACAAGAAATGAGAAAATCGTGAATTGGAGCAGAATTGATGGGAATGAAGGAAAGGCAGGAATGGCATGGATATATGCTGGAAGAATAAATGGCATCTAGGATGACTGCATTTCATTTTCTATCCACTTTCAGGAAGACAGAGCCTTCCGTTCCCTGCATCACCATGTTTTCTACAGCAGTTCCCAACCACACTGCCTTTCATCCGTCGACATTTTTTCTGCTTGGTATCCCGGGGATGCAAGACCAGCACGTGTGGGTTGCCATCCCCTTCTGCTGCATGTACATCCTCGCTCTCGCGGGGAATGGCACCATCCTGTACATCATCACGACGGACAGGACTCTGCACGAGCCCATGTACCTCTTCCTGTGCCTGCTTTCGCTCACCGACCTGGTTCTGTGCTCGACCACACTGCCCAAAATGCTAACAATCTTCTGGCTCAGGGCCCACCTGATTTCCTACTATGGCTGCCTCACCCAGATGTTTTTTGTTCACGCAGTGTTTGCCACAGAGTCAGCTGTCCTGCTGGCCATGGCTTTTGACCGCTATGTAGCGATCTGCCGCCCTCTTCATTATACATCCATCCTCAATGCTGCGGTGATTGGCAAGATAGGTCTGGCCTGTGTGGTCCGTGGCATAATCTTTGTTTTCCCCTTTATCATTCTCATTGAACGCTTGCCTTTTTGTGGCCGCCACATCATCCCCCACACCTACTGTGAGCACATGGGCATTGCCAAGCTGGCCTGTGCCAGCATCAAGCCCAACACCATTTATGGTCTCACGGTGGCACTTTCTGTCACAGGCATGGATGTGGTCCTCATTGCTGCCTCTTACGGCTTCATCCTGCAGACTGTGCTGCGCCTGCCCTCCAAGGATGCCCAGTTTCGAGCATTTAGCACATGCGGTGCCCACATTTGTGTGATTCTTGTGTTCTATGTACCTGCCTTCTTTTCCTTTTTCACCCACCGCTTTGGTCACAAAGTACCTCCTCATATTCACATAGTTCTTGCAAATCTCTATCTCCTCGTGCCCCCTGTTCTTAATCCCCTGGTTTATGGTATTAACACCAAACAGATCCGCCAGAGGATACTTGGCTTTTTCGTGGGGAGGAGGTAGCTATGTCCTCAATATACCCTTGAAGTCCAATGGGAGAAATTATAATTCATCTCCCACCTTTTCTAGCACCTCTTACCTTTGGAGTAGAGGTTCATGTTTTTGCAAACCTAGCAAACCAGCATCATGTATTATCTGAGAGTTTTTGAAGTATTTAGTACAAATCACTTATACCTGCTAAATGTGCAGAATTCCATTTTCCTGGAAAGCTAGCACACACTGTTAATGAGCGTGTGGTTCTTTATTTTTACTAGGAAAAGGTCAGGAAGCAGTGGCTAGGAGAATTTAGTCTCTCTTAGTGCAGAAATCCTGTATGCTGGCAGTAGTGGGAAAGTGGTCATAGAAATATTTAGTTGTAACTTCAAGAGAGTGAGCATGAGTGCGTGGGCGCATGCACACACACACACACACAAACACACTCGCGCTCATTGCTTGCTTGCTAGCACTTTCTTATACCAATAGTATTTTTATTAAGCATGTCAGCCCCAGGGCTGAGATGGCTGTGAGAGTTCAGGATCCTCTGGACTTTGAAATAGGTTTGAAATCAATGAAAATGACTTCTCGGTGACTTATTTTGAGGGCGTGGATAACATATATCAATGGGAAATTCATAACACCGGTTCCTCAATAAATCACTACAAAGATGATACTTTGTAGCTACTATATGAACCTCATGCCTGAAAATCTACATTTTTCCTGATATTCTCAGAGCGATGATCTTTATATACAAATACCTTGCAGGTCACTGCAGATTCATTCTGACAGTGTTTACCTCATGTAATAAAGAGACTTTTAGGTGTATAAGAATTCCTAGGACACTGATTTTTTTGCTAAAGCTAAGCAGGATAATCCAGGATGGCCAGGGTTGACAAATATCTGTCTCCATACAACTTCTTTTGTCTTAGCACAATTTTACCTTCCATAAGAGATGAGGAGTCTCCTTGCTTGTGTTTGGGTATATTGGAAGAGATTAAAGGAAGTAACCTGTCTACCCTCTTACACAATTTGTCTACATTAACCTTATATCAATATTCCACAGGGTAAAATTTTTATTATAGATTGTCTATTATTGGACACTTTCAAGCTTCTAAGCATTCCTGCCACTTTTCAACTTCAGTATCCGTTTTTCCTTCTTTTTTTTTTTTTTAGCTTTTTTTTAAATAAAGATGTATTTATTTATTTATGCAAGCATTGGGTACAGTCAGAAGCTCAGGAGGGTGAGGGAATTCACCAGAGCCAGTGCGGGGAGCAGAGCAGACAGAACACTGCTGAGGGGAGCAGCGGGCAGCAGGAGAGGTCTGCGTGCCATGCGGAACCCTCTCCCGGAGGCCGGGGATCGAACTGGTGCTGCAGAGGCTGTGGGCAGCTTCGCAACCCAGCGCTCAACCGCTGAGCCACCGGGGAGGCCAGGTTTTTCCTTCTTATACCAATCTTTCTGTTTCTAAGGTCTGAGATTCAGCCTATGCATAGGTGACTTAGTTTGTCGTGTGATGTTTGAAGAATATGGATACATAAAGAGATTAAAAAGAACCTTATTGTGTTTTGGTAAAATATTCATAAAAAACATTTGCAATTTCAATTCATTTTATTGTGCAACCATCAGCGTTGTTCATTCCCCAAAATTTCATCACCACAAATAGAAACTCAGTAACCATCAAGCAACATCTCATTGTTTCTATCATTTCCCAGTCATTGTAAATTGAATCTACTTTCTAAAGAGAACCAGCCTTTTGTAAGAATTTCAGAAATATTACTCATTTATTTATTTTTATTATTGAACATCCACTCAGAAGTATGTATTAATGATGCACTACTATACTTCATAGTAGGCATCGAATTTCACTGTTGAATAAGACACAATACCTGGCTTCAGGAAAATCAATCTTGTGAGAGAAGTGAAGTTATTACAACAGAATATGGTATTTGCAGTGGCAGGTATAAAAGATTCTATTAGAATAAAGAGGAAAATATCTACATGTTAAGATAATTCTTTTCTTTTCTTATGACAATCATTAATTGTATTTTTTCTTACAGTGAAGTAATATTTAATTAATGATTCATCCTGATTCTAAGCCTTCTTGCCATTGGGTGGTGGCAAAGAAGAACAACCTGTCCATGACTGGAGTGTATTGTAGTCTTCCTATGGTTCCCAGGTTGAATAACTGAGCCATTTCATGGAAACATACAATTGAAATTAATTGTTATATGGAGCTTCCTACATTTTGGGGAAGTGAGAATTAAATAACTATACCTAACTTCCCTGATGGAAATTATTAAAACTCACCAATCTATCACCACTGAGAACATATCTATCATCAAAAGTTAGATTTACAAAGATATATATTTACTTCATATTTATATGAACTTATTTGTCTTATTTACTTATTCATTTGCTAATTTATTCAACACTTATTAGATTCCACCATGTGCCAAACATAATACTAGTGGTAGGGATACAGGATTAGGGGAGAAATCTGACCAGGGCTATTATCCCAAAGTAGTATGATTATCCAAAGGGAGAAATTAAAATGATGGTTGAGTGGGCCTCCCTGGTAGCGCAGCGGTTAAGCACTGGGTTGCGAAGTTGCTCACAGCCTCTGCAGCACCGGTTCGATCCCCGGCCACTGGGTGAGGGTCCCACATGGCGTGCAGACCTCTCCTGCTGCCCGCTGCTCCCCTCAGCAGTTTACTTCTTCAGTCTGCCTGCTCTGTTCTCCCCTCTGGCTCTGGTGAATTCTCTCACCCTCCCGAGCTTCTGACTACCCAGTGCTTGTATAAATAAATAAATAAATACATCTTTAAAAGAAACAAAAAACAAAAATGATGATTGAGAGATGAAAGTCCTCTGGGCCATAGTAGAAGACAAGGAAAGCTTCTTAGGATATATTCAAGTGTTTGATAAGGTCATAGATGTAAAAATGGGAGAGCAGGGCCAGGATAAAAGAATTCTGTTTTGTTACTACCTGTCACCACCCATGAGAACCATGTTGGGACAGAGGAAAGGAGAACTGAGCTTAGCATTCCTGCTGTTTGCACACAGCTCTCTGCAGAAGCAGACTGTGTGTATTCTTCCTGTTGATGTGTTGGTTATCTCAGACCATTTATTCTGGTTATCTCAGACCGTTTATTCAATTTCCTCTGCCACTGCTTCCCGTTAACTGACACCTGACTCTGAACATAGTCTCCCAAAAGAGCCCATTTGTTGGTAGAACTTGCACTACCAAAATTTAAAATCTGTCTTTCTGAGTCCCATGTCTGTTTAGTCCTTGCACATTTTTTTTTAAAAGATTTATTTATTTATTTATACAAGCACTGGGTACAGTCAGAAGCGCGGGAGGGTGAGAGAATTCACCAGAGCCAGAGTGGGGAGCAGAGCAGGCAGAAGGACCGAAGTACACTGCTAAGGGGAGCAGCGGGCGGCAGGAGAGGTCTGCGCGCCATGTGGGACCCTCCTCCGGTGGCCGGGGAGCAGCCGGGGATCGAACCAGTACTGCAAAGGCTTCGGGCAGCTTCACAACCCAGCGCTGCACCACCGGGGAGGCCCTAGTCCTTGCACAATTTTATACTTCCATTTTGTCCTGTGCATTTTGAAGTGGACTTAGGAAGATATATTTGGTTAGACTTTAATAACTTGCTTCCTCTGAACTGATGAGAATAGAATATGTCCACATCTGAACCCAGAGTTGAAAGGATGCTGGGGCATGAGTGGACATGGGGTCTAAAGGAGGTAAGGGGTGTTGCAGAATATGCTCTGGGGGATGTCTGGGGTAAAGCAATGGCCATGAAAGAGTTAGAGCAAGAAAATCTGGAAGAGGAGAGGGAGCAACAAAATTTGAGGTGACCAACCATTTTACAGGATTCTGAATAACAGGGGATGTGCCTCTGTTGCTGTCACGAGCATGATTACTTAGCAGTAAGTTCCTCCCCAGCCCGCACTCAAACACTTTCTCCAGAAAGAGGGTCTTTGGTACCCAAACTGCCAAGCTCTAAGTAGTCCCAGACTCAGTTTTAACTTTACCCCTCTTCACTCAGGCTTCCGCAGCACTGAAAAAGACTGGAACCTTCCTGGAATCCCTATAGTCCCTTCGCCTTATCTCTTAGGAGCTCAGGGAAACCTCCAGGGTGAATTTTAAACTTAATAGCAGTGAAACTGTGTGTATGAGTTTGGGGAGGAGGGAATAGCAAGAGCTAATTCTGGCCACCCTGGGGTCCTTTACTTAGGTTACTTAAAGGACACCACCATGGATTCTGGGTGTCTGAAAGGGAGGAGCGGGGAGATGCAGGGCCATGAGCGTGTTCTCCAAGAGTCACATGGGGGTTTACTAAGATACACCCACACACATCTGCACATACTCACACATGCATGTTTGAAGAAGGTGCCTGGGGCCAGTCTCCCTCTTTCTCATTACCTCACATGCAGGTAAGTTGTTCTATGTGAGGGGGGCGTTAAGTTCACATTCTGGTAGTCTTGTCACTGAGTTTCAGTTGCCCAGCTTGCACTGCGTGCTTCATTCGTGGCCATCATTGTACGTTCTTATCAAAAAGTCCCCCACAGGTCCTTAAATGTGTGTTCAATTTCTGGAAGGATTCTATTATAAGTTCTTAAGTTAGCTTATTAAAAAAGTTTTTTTTTTTTTTGTTTTCAACCTAGTTGACATTTTGGTTTTTGAAAGAGGTATGCTCTATTTTGTCAATTTCTCTGTTTTTATATCCACTTTTGTTTCACCCATTTCATATTATTTTCTTTAAATGGAGGCATATGCAAAATTATACACAATATAATCTTATTTAATGATAGTTTCGTTTAGGTATAATGAATCAGTGTGTCCTTAATAAAACTTTTTTAATAAGACATATCTCTCAGTTGTTACTACTGTTATGCCACATTATTACTACTGCAATATCACAGCATACTACTCTTACTATATGGTATGTATTAGCATGTTTCCAGAATCACTTTTGCATCTTATCAGTCTCTTTTATTTTATACTTTGAAAATCTTG